AATTAAAACTTCTTGCAGATAAAAATTAAAAACCGTTTTCTGACAGAATTTTGGAAACTAATTGAAAATGAGAGTTTAGAGAATAACACTGAAGAACAGCTTAGAGGTGATCGTTTATGAGCATTTCTGTGTATATTAGCAAAAAAGGTAGACAATGTAGCTGTACTAAATTGTAAATATTCGTATCGTCCATACCTGCAAGTATTATTTTATAGCGATTGGAATTTTGAAATTGTAATATTACCCGTTCATATCCCATATGGACATAACATGCAAGGTCAATGGGTTTTGAGAATATTTGAACGTAAATATAACATTAACAGTTACTACGATTCATTGGTATGTCCAAAGCCAAACTTATTTGAAGCTATGCATGACACTTAGACATTTTCATCACATGAAATAACATTTAAAACTTTTACAGCATCGGCGACGCCTAGTTGGAACTAATCGATAATATTAAAAAACCTATTGAAGTTGAGAGCACATTTATATGATCTGATTTGTTTTTACCTGTATGCCCTATTACACTGTCCTTCATTTTCACATTTTGACATGTTTGTGGTACGAACATCCGGAAATTCAGTTCATTTTTATTCCGAATATTGTGTACATTACATTTCTTTGAAATTGAAGCACTATCCCATGTTGACATTCTCTAAATTAATGTGTTCAGTCTGGGCAGCGCCTGTGTCGGCACCGGTTAGAGTGCTTCAAACTAAAAGAAAAATTATGCACACAGGTTTCAGTATAAAAGTGACTAAATTTTTGGATGTGTATACCAACAGTTTCAAAGCAGTAAAATAAGAGACAGTCTAATGTATTTTAATCAGTGTACACGTGAAAATATTTCGCGCTATGCAAATCATTGTTTTAAATGTGAAAATAGTTTCAGATAGGATCCCATGACTGAACTCATACAGGCCAAGACTTGTGCGTGAGAAATATTAAAGTACTGATAAATGTTGTATACGCAACTAAAAAGATCAGATCCGTACAATTTAATTGTAGAGGGAATCGAATAGTTTATTTTTCACAGAATGTAAGATACTTCACATTTCTGAATCCCGTATTAAATTAATGAAAAGGCTCGATATGTGTGTACCATGAAAGAATTGTGTGATAAAGAACTGTGCTTTTATGAACATAACTTTAAGTTAAAATCTGACAAAGGGTTTAGAAACGCAATTTTTTAAGTGATGTACGACCGAGCAAGAGGGGAAACAACAATCAATGAGAGAATAGTGAATTGCACTTTTAATGAAAAGTCATGTTTTAACAAAATATGTGCACGCCGTAAACTTGTTCAAAAACTTTTTGCGAACTGCATTCATCGTTGGAGTTTTGTTCGTGTAAAGGAAAGGGGTGTTGGCATAAAAATAATTACGCAGATTTTCTATTTCAGTTGAAAAGATTTCTTCGAAATCTTATAATACTACGGAAAAACATCCCACTCATGAGAACATTATATGTAGGGAAAAAATGAGGTTAACACTAGTCCCATCATTTGTTTCATTATGGTATAACAACTATATTTACTCGAGGTGATGTAAAATTACATAATTTTTATAAAGGGTTATATAGCCCATGCTGTAACCCCTTCAGCTTCCCCCCTCGGAAGTTGTAGGTAGTTGGTGACCGAATTTGAAGTTCAACCAGTTCCCGGATTTTTCAAATTAACCCTGAAACACTTCTCTAGATAATTTTACTATCTCTAGGTGGGAACTTTCAATCAATCGGTATCAAATGGTAATCTATTAATCCTTTAGTTTGACCCTGCGATCGTACTGCACATTTTAAATCATTGTTTTAAAAGTGAAAATAGCGTCATACCGACTTCAAATAAATCTGACAAAGCGTGTTGCAGAGTACTTTTGGAAAATAGTATATAAGAAACCTGCAAAAAGGTCGTATTTTGAAGATTTCAGCCTAAGAAATATAACTCGTGAACTCTGTGAGCTAGGTCGAATCGTTTCCGAGTTCTGCACGATAAGTCGCAACGTAACGTGTGTTGCGGGTTGCGTGTAAACGTCTAATTCTTTCGTGACGAATCTGTTTGATGTAGGCCTGGGGAGTAATTCCCTACCCAGGAGTTAGCACACTTATGGGGATTCGTATCAATGGATCTTTACTTGTGAGAAGGAACCATTTAGAGTTTAATATCAGTTACAATTTAAACTTCAATTGAAAGTGGCTAAAACCACAGTCATGAAATGACAGTCTTCCAGAAGTGGGACACATTTATGGAACAGAAGACTTCACGTATTGTGATTTTAAATTATTCAATTTTAATTGATCTATTAATTTTAATTGGTTTTAAAGTGTACATGGTTTCTTTCATTCATTTCACAGTCTTAGTTTTTGAATATGATCCACCCAGTCTGAATCGAAACACAACGATAAGCATTTACGGTTATTCCAAATTTACAATGTCAAACAACTCACACGTTACACAACAAAAGTAAACACATACCTCCTAAAATATAGATGTGGGGTTATTTTAAGGCGTGTTTTGAGATTTTAAGAAGTTGCTGCGTCTTCGGCCCATTATGCCGCCCCGTGCACGTCACCCAGCACGGAGAGCGATGGGGTGGGACTGACAAGGCGGGGAAGAGGGGAGAGGAAAGGCGGGGTGGGGTGCTGGAGTGTATGAAAGGCGAGGTGGGAGAGATGGAGGTAAGGTGAGGAGGGATGGAGGTGAGGTGAGGAGGGATGGAGGTG